CCCCAAACTATTGAAATAACGTATTGTTCGAATTTGAGTGCCCTAGCACTAAGCTGACCGCAAAGATGCGTAAAATATTGACAGGGTGCATATATTATAAATATTGACTTATTAAGAAATTAAAATATCTTTGTAAAGCGCACGATTTTCTGCTCTTGGCCTGGGAATTTAAATTTGTTTATGCATAAAATTTACATATGGCTAAAATTTGCATCAAGCTTTTAAGCACTTGCAGCACTTTTGCATCAAGCTTTTAAGCACTTTTAACACCTAAGGTTTGGATTTGGAATAGTCTCCCTGTATCCATTCGAATTCAGGAGAATTATACATGTATTACTAAAGACCCGTTATTTTAGAGAAGCTTTTAATCTATAAGTATACTGAACATTTATCGATAACTAATAACATCGTAGTTTATAGTTTGTTTTAATAATTATATACAACATGTAAATTTTTAGGTATTAACTTTTAGATTGACTGAAATATGTAATGCGCATTTGATTGTATTTGAAAATGCTAATTTGGGCAATAGAAGTATTAATTATTATTAATATATTCTTTTATTGTGCCGCCATTTTATTTATTTATGTACGTAGCTGGTTGGGCCGGACAACAATTTTAGTCACTTGTTGCCAGGCGGGATACATTGCATTTATTTAACTAAAGCGACGTGGAACGTGACCACAAATGTGGTGTCGATGGTCGGGACACTAATGAGCGCGTTGATTACCGTGTCCCTCCCTAGAAATAAACACACAAAAGATCTTAATAAGCGTTCTTTATTACAACTCAACAGCAACTGCCGATTGCGAAGTGCACACGCTATTTACCAAATACACCCTTCTGGAAAGCACATCACTTTGGCTATAGAGTATAGAGCCTCGTTTTCGTGTATAGCCAGATGTCGAACTTTCAGCCGGAAGCGTTACGTCAGTCAAGTACCAAAACACGACTACAAATTCACATGTGACGACTACAACTACCTACAAGTCCATTTACACTGCACGCAGCACTCGAAATAACTAGCAACACTCGAAATAATGAACTGAGAACAATAACCTCTATAATTGAAAACTCATACTCGTCATGGACCTTATTGACCTTAAGGCCTTATTGAGTCGGTGCAAAAAAGAGCTTTAAAAATCGCGTATCCCACTCTATTTAGTGAAGCATTACAGAAAAGTAACATTAAACTACTGAGTACAAGAAGAGAAGAAGCATGTAGGAAATTAATTAACTCACTTCGAGACCAAGATTCGCCATACAACCCTTTAACTGCAATAGTTAAATCCGGTCTACCAGACCGAACTCATAAATTATTATGATCTGCGTAATAATAACCCGCAACTCTACCGATAATGTCTGAACGGTTAAAGAACTTTTTTACCATATATATATAGTTAAATTTTTATAAATACATTTTTACAATAGATAGTTTAATAGTAGAGTATATTATCGTAATTTACCGCATTTAGGATAGAATACATATTATCTTACTATATAACATTGTTAACGTAAATTTTAATTTAATAATGTAAATATTGTTTTCCATGTAATTCAGCTTTAACTGCAAAATGGATTTAATTAAACTAATAATAATAATAATAACAACCTGCATGGTACCTTGTCCAATATGTGCACTAACTCACCGCGCGCACCATTTAGAAGGACAGCTATAACTGCCAAGAAATTTTCTTTTTCTTAATATTCGGAAAGTCTTTGATTCAATTAACCATAACATCTTGTTACGCAAAATGAAAGATCAATTTGGAGTTTCTTCTGACAAGTAACAAATTAGCATCTTTCGACCAAAACCAAATTAATGTACGTTGGTTCAAAGCATAATCTTCATATTAAGATAAACGATGATATTCCTGTAATGTTAAATAGCCAACGGATTCACAGAGTATATTCAATCTCTTGTTTGGGCGTTACACTTGATGAAACACTAAGTTAGTGTTTCATCAAGTGTAACGCCCAAACAAGAGATTGAAGTAAGTTGGGATGAACACATTGAAACGATTCGGCAAAAAAGGTGGGGCAGGTATAGGGACGTTAAAACGCACCAAGCGGCTACATTCCTGCAAACATGTTGCAATCAATTTATAGCGCTTTGATACAACCTTATTTCGATTACTGAATTTACTGCTATCCACTTTGGGATATTTGTAACAAAATACTGAAAGATAAGTTACAAAAGTTTCAAAATCGGGAAACTAAATAAATAATAGCTGGCGCTAGCTATGAGATCGGGTCTACTGAGTACTGACGTTCTCTTGAATGGGAAAATTTAGATTCCAGACGAGGTATGAGCAAGGCAACATTATTATATAAAATTCTGAACGATTGTAGTGCACCAAATTTGACTGAAGAGCTATTGATGAGGAGAAATTCTCTACAAACTAATTATGACCTCAGAAATTCTCATACTGATCTGGCCCTTCCTAAACCGAGGCGTGAATTTCTTAAAAAAGCTTTAAGTACAGTGGTGCTAAACTTTGGAATAATCTTCCGCGCGAACTGGCTAAGCAAAGAAGCGCAATAAATTTACCGTTTCAAACAACTATAGATCTTACTATACGACCGGGTCACACCAATTTAATTTTTTTTATAAATCTCTTGTAAATAGCTATATATTTATATTTTTCTCTCTTTGTAGTATCTTTTTCTTGTGCTTGTATCCAGTTAGGATGTACTTTATTTATTTATTTATATTTATAGAGTATAGAGATTTATCTGTATTTTATACTCTAGCCAACTAGGGCGTGATGACTTTGATACGAGAAGGAAGTCGGCTTACCGCAATTAATACGCTATCGCTATGTCATGACCACGCGCAAAATCGCAAATAATGCTAGTTAATTTACTCTCCTCTATTAACTATGATTTACTGAATCGATGACCTGTGATGACCTGTGATGTTTGACTTGATGACCTGTGATGTTTCAATTTATTTCAAACTTCGCCGGTTCTCTTATGATTGTGGGAGCATATCAATGTATCTTAAAAAAGAAAGATACACTCAGGGGCGTAACTACTGCGGGGGAGGAGGGGGGGGGGTGGTAAAACTCAATTTACAATGCGATACTTGTAGATACTTCATATTTTGCGCGTAGTGTTACGAGTGGGTGGCACCACAGAGGACTATGAATTATGAATATAATAAATTTGGAAAGAAGAAAAATTTGTATTCCTGCTACTCGAGTGTTACACTCGTCATAAAGAAATTAAATTCACGTACTGTATTATAATAACCGAATCCTTGCTTCGTGAACTAAATTGTTCATAAATTCGATATGTTATACATCGAGGATCGACGGTAATTAATCTGTTGCACTTGCCATCTGAATATATATTACCTATAATGTGCAATTGCGCTATTTAAAGTTGTGGTACTGTCGATTCTGCGTATGCGTTCATTAAAGTCCCCACACCCCAGCTCGTGACACAGTTTTTGATCTTGTGTCGAAAATGTTCCCTCTGCTGAACTGTATAGTTCTCGGCACAATTACACTGTTTTGGTTATATGGTTTTACTCATTCTCGAACCCAGAGCCCTTCTTACGCGCGGTCAACGGAGCGCGACGAGGGTAAAAAGGGCTCTGGGTACGAGAATGGGTTTTACTAAAATATCATTCTCGTACCCAGAGCCCTTCTTACACCGCACGGTGCGACGAGGGGCTCTGGCCAAACCCATATCAAACTGGCATCTGATTGGCTACAACGAAGATTATTGTTCTAATACTGGATATATTCTATTAGCATGTTTTTATGGTATCCGGTTTTGGATTTGGCCAGAGCCCCTCGTCGCACCGCGCGTAAGAAGGGCTCTGGGTACGAGAATGCTAAAATATCAAAAATTAAAATAATATATAAAAGGTAAAAAATAAAAATTCTCACAAATCACGATCTTGACCATAGCGCATGAGCTATACAAAGCACACTAGTCATTCACTGCATGTTCTACACTGTTCTGTGATCTGTTCCTGTTGACGCCCGCAAGCAAATAAATGCCTACGCATGCTACTGTTACGCCTAGCTCTAACCTGTTACGTCATGTTCTAATTATGAACTATACTGTAAAGTATATGTAATTAAATTGCTTTATCCCCAAACGTGCTATCTTGATCATCATATTCGAGATCATATTCATAGGTATATTTCGAGTAAGATAAATCTCCAGGCCCGGTAAAAATTGTTGGTCTTAAAGATGAATGCACAGTATGACGCTACAGCTGTACAGCTGTACTAAACGAAAACAGTATGACGCTGATCATATGAGTGGGTTTTTGCAAAGTCATACGGCCTCGACAGGAAGGTGCGCGGAGACTTACGTGGGAGGAATTGCGTTTTATTTTCATAATATACATGGCAAGTACAACTAAACGTCTATTTATGGACAGGTCACAGGATATAGATATACCAGACAAATTTCCTGGATGCCACAAATGTTTTCTTAGATAAAATCACCGTTTGCCGGAACATTTGACGCTCAAGATCAATTTAAAGACAAAATAAATATCATAAGCGATAACAACATGTGGGTTGTTTTATTTTGTAGAGGGTGGTTTCTTTATCAATTAGTTACGGTTAGGCTATATGTATAACCAGGACCCGGACCCATGTAAAACCAGGACCCTCGTCAAATTTGACAGGGGGATGGAAAATCATTTTTTTAGTGGCGAGGGAGAAGATTGACCGCGAGAAAGCGCCAAATTCTGAAATAAAAAAAAAGCATTTATTTCGTTGTGACTGAAATGTGCCGGCCTGTTTACATGACGAGAAAACCAAAATGCGCAAGGTAACGACTCATCAGCTTTGCCTTCAGAACTCGGCGCCTTCTTACAATGTGCACGTGTTGATTAGCGCGGTAAATGCGTTGCGACAAGTAACTTAAACTTAGGGCCTGTTTACATGGAGGCAGGGTGACCCTATCAGGAGGGTTACCCTAGCAAGCGGGTCAGAAAATAGCGAGCGTTTACATGAGGTAGGGTGACCCTACTGCTAGGGCTATGTAAGAAACGTTAACGAAATTTCTGTGACAATTGATAGACAAATTAAGTCTTTAGTTCTCGATATTTCTTTTAGATTCAATAATATTTCAACAACGTTTATTGATCCAAAAATATAATACTAGGGTACCTGCAAGGTAGGGATTGCTGCGGGCATTAAAAGCAAATAGAACTACAGTAAACAGCACAAGTTATATCAAGCACAGTGATTACTCGCAGTCGCAGCGACTAGTGAGCTGTAAACGGAACTGAGAAGAAGCAATATATATTGAAGTAGCAAAGACCAGGGGTTAAAGGGCAATCAGAGGTGACATATTACTCGTTTGAGCGCCGCCCCCGATTGAGCGCCGCCCCCGAATGAGCGCCGCATTTGAGATCAAATTTTTTTAAAGAGCGCCGCCCCCGAATGAGCGCCGCACTAAACAGTGTAATAACTTTCCACCATCAAAATGGGGACATTTAGTGACAAAGACATTCAAAACTTGTTTATTTTATTGTTAAAAGTTCTTTACATAAGTCACAAATAAAAGATTTTTTTAAAGAACGGCGCCCCCGAATGAGCGCCGCATCTGAAGCTCTGAAAATTTAAAGAGCGCCGCGGCGCTCAAACGAGTAAATACGGTATATTAAACATGTGCGTCTCATTGGTAAATTAAGATCAGATTTCATATCAAGTCTGTTTCCTGCTAGGCGCATTTACCACAAGCACATTATATACAGACTATATACACAGATTTATCACACCAAGAAACCAAAACTTTATAAAAATATAGAACTGACAGTGGCCAAAGTCCAAAACAAATGTAAGCGTAACATCAGACTTGAAAAAGCTTTAGAAATTCGATAAAAATTCGAAGACTCGAGCGAGTTTTAAAATTTGTGTTCTGCGCATAGAAAGCGCGCACGACCACAATTCCATGCGCTAATAAAATTTAGTTCAAAACCCCCTCTCTGCACATATTAGGCTGCTGCTACGCTCGCACGCTCCGCAGCAATTACAAAGTTTAATATTAAAATATTCTTCGCCCCGTCACTAAAAATTTGATTTCCCTGACCCCCGTTAAATTTGACAAGGGTCCTGGTTTTACATGGGTCCGTGGGTCCACTGAGTTAATAGAAGTAGGGTCCTGGTCCTGGTTATACATATAGCTGTTACGGTTAAACCAGTTGATAACGCATGCATAAACGCCCTCGCACTAAACGCATTCAGCAAAAGTCCATGACCGAGTCACTCTATGCATTCAGTTCTATCGATCGAGATGCCCAAAATCTTGGTGAAAACAACTACTGAACCTGTAAAAGTTGAACTTGTTGAAATAATACTTCTGTTCCGCTTTATGGATCAATATATTCGTCTAACCACCGGACCGTCGTTGCCCGAATGACAAGACAATTTTTGCCCGAATATAGATAAATTCTCAAAAAATGGGGGGGGGGGCTGCAGCCCCCCCCCCCAGCCCCACCCTCCCGTACGCCTATGACACAGGTTTTCAACTTGGGGGACATGTCCCCGAGAGGGGACATTTGGCAAATTCCTAGGGGACACAAACTGGTCTAGGACTGAGAAAACAATAGTTGAATACAATAGTTGAATACAATAGTTTGTACTATAAACATGTTTGCTTGACTTTCTATCTATTATTTAAAATTTAAATCATTTACTATTTTACTAGCTAACTATTTCGAAATTCGTGTTTTTGATAGACTTCAGTGGGCAATTTCTGTTCAGGGGACGACGTGGTAATCCAATCATGTGAAATCGGGGACACATGAGAAAACCAGTTGAAAACCGTTGGCCTATGATAAGTTTCCTTCTCTGTGTACTAGTTTTGAAATAAACGAGTGTACAGTCCAGATCAGTTACCCAAGGCAACTGAGACGAGTTGGTTTTAAACATGGGTTGGCGCTAATCCAGCTTTGAACAACCAGCTCTATAGGTGATATTTTAGCAGTGGTGCGGCTGATGGCAAAGCCAATGTCTAAAATTACTTGCAATCAATTCTCATCTTCCTTCTATTTTACAGTGTTGAAAGGCTGCTATCTTTCTAGCTTAAAATTAATGGAACCATTGAGTACTGATTTTATAAAACTGAACAACTGTAACTCCGAATATGAATACTTTATTATTTTCTCAGCTTTTGACTGTATTTATATAGGTAAAATTTATATAGGTCTGAATTGATGCACTACCGGCGAGGTTAATCTTTACGCAAAGCAAAAGTCAGAATTCCTAGGTTCCAGTTTCCTCACTTGAAAAAAACGCTGAAATATATAAATAGAAGGCCTTGGACTATATATAGGCTCAGGTCAGTTATTACACAGTTAATAACTGTGGTTATATTACAATGATTATTACTCGTACAATGTGTTGCCGATGGTCGGGGCATTAATGACCGCGCGTTGATTCCCTCCCTAGAAATAAATTATTCTATCAAAATATTTCAAAATTTTTGTATTTTTCTACCCCTAGGACTGCAATTCCTGCATTTTCTGAAACATATATTTTTGGATATACAGCACGTACACCTTCAGTGAAGTACTTGCATCAGTTGCACGGTATGTTTATGTAGATACCACAACTTGGTCACTCAGGGAGCCAGCTTGACAAACTTAGACGGCCCGACTCCCAGAAATGGCATTTTGTTAGTGTTTGTTAGGCCCTTTCATTAATCCTTTCATTATGATTTGTGAGTCTATGCTATCCTTGAGTCAGGCAGGATGGATTATTACGAGAAATGTTGTTATCATATTATATATATATATATATATATATATATATATATATATATATATATATATATATATATATATATATATATATATATATATATATATATATATATACGGTACCGTCTGTAGTTAGATATCGCTCTATGGCCTTTAGGTCATATTGAGCGCTCTACAGGATGAGCCATGCCGCTTACGCATTGCGCACGCTCACTGCTTGCAGTTTGAGCGCTCTGGCATGGTTTTGATGTCCCACAATCGTGAGGCATCAAAGGTAACTATAAATAAGAGTTACTTTCATCCTGCTCATCAGCACTACACTGATGAGGCCCATTAGGCCGAAACGGTACCGTCTGTATATATATATATATATATATATATATATATATATATATATATATATATATATATATATATATACGATTTCAAATACTTCTAGTTTCGAAATCAATTGGATTTTTTTTTTTTGGGGGGGGGAGAATATTATTCCCTCCCTTATAAAACATGGGTTGCTTCCTACACCCCCTGCGGCCACTAACTTGTTTAGCCGAGCCTTCCGAGTTCCGACAACTCAAACTATATAGGGTCTGGGATTTGCAATCCACTGGAAAATGTTTAAAATCTAATAAGGTATGTACAACACAGTGTTTAGCATCAAAGATAAAAGACAGGACATAAGATTCACAAAGCAAAATTTCAGTTACTAGAATATCAAACATCCCTTCGGGATGGAAAAGGGACTTTGACTGGGGGGGCAAAATGGTTGAGTGGGGGGGGGGCACCATGGGGGCTTGAGGGCTTTGGCCCCCAGTTATATAGTTAAAAAATGCCCTGGGTCCCGTGTATCCCAGATAATTATGAATATAATAAATTTTGAAAGAAGCTGAAAGATTTGTATTCCTGAGAACTGATTTTATTAAAACTGAACAACTGTAACTCCGAATATGAATACTTTATTATTTTCTAGCTTTTGTCTTTTGACTGAAAATAGAAAATATTAGTTCAAATGTTCATATTCTGAGAACTTAATTCGGAGTTACCGTTCAGTCGGTTCTGTATTTTCTAGCCAAAAGAAAAGGTGAAATTAATTAAAGTGGACAGACGTCGACACTAAAATTAAGAGCAAAGAAGAACATTCCATGAGCTAGGGAAGGGTTTTTCAAGTTGGACTGATTGTTTCAAATAGTTTGTGGACGTCGTTTATTTTTCCAGTCTATTTAACTGCACCCATGCAATGTGATATATTAGAAAACTTGGCAAAAACAATCCATCATCATCGGTCATGTTTTCATGCAGTGATATACAATCCTTTTCATGACTTAATGTTTACAAATGATTTAACGTTTGTTAACTTAATATGCATGGTGACGTGTAGCCAGCGTGGGTTAGAATGTCAACAGGAAATATTTTTTATCATGCAGCTCCCTAATACTGATCTGTGTAAATATTCCTCCCCCTGCTTTGCTTTCTTTACAATTCAAATTAAACACACGTACACACCAACAATGCTGAGCGATGTCGGACGAAAATCGTTTGAATAAAATCAAACTTGCATCCAACATCTTCCAACAGCAGGCAGCATTACTTATAAAAATAATGTCAAACAGAGTGACCGACATGCAATGTAATGTTGGACCTATATATATTACATCTGATTTTGGGCAGGTTTGAACGAGCTCAGTTATACGTATAGCCATGGCAGGGTTTCATTTGAGGTATTCGCTACATTTCGAATAAACAAATGAAACCCTGCCATGGCTATACGTATAACTGAGCTCAGGGAAAATATGCTGTGACATTTGATCACCAAAATATTCGGTATCGGCACCCTGTTGCGTTTAAAGCCCAAATCGCGCAATTTACTATCATTTTTAGCACATAAACCCGAATTTTACCTAGTTATAGTTGACTTTTCCCAAAAGTACGCACGGCTTTATGCTCTTTGCGATACTCTCTTTATGTCTACATGGCTTGCTTTTTATTCCGCGCAATATATCCTGTGTCACTTTGGCCATGAACTTGAGCGACCGGCCGCGGTATTGATATAGATTATTACTACGGTGAACCCGTGGTTGAAATATACAGCGGCTGTATTCTTTAAAGTATGCGTAAACGACAGAAGTACGCACGGATTCTGAAAGCCTGGAATCCAGTGATCAATATGGTACCAAAATGTTAAAATTTGGCGTAATATTTCCTGTGTCATTTCGGCGATTTGTGTTAGCAATGTTTTGGTCGACAGGGCTAATATCTAGTTGTTTATGGCTCGGATTACTCTTCTGGCGTTTACCGATGCAGGAAGCGACGATGAATTTGGCGAAGAAGGCTCGTGGGAAAGCAATTCGAATAAAGAAGACCTTCCTAATTAATTTTAACATTACTATGAATAAGTAATAAGTATGTATTATATCTTTATATGACATTATATAACATGTATATTAACTATATTCCCGAAAAATCGTCGCGCGACGCAGCTGTAAGCGACGTTTATAATGATTCACAATATCTCGTCAATTACTGCGGATTCAGGTAGACCGTTTAATGCGAATAGTTGTCGTGTTAGTTTTAACAGTTGTACGATGACGTTTCTAGGCAGATTTTCGACGTTTCTAAGGCGTGGCTTCAACGTTTATTTTTAAAATTTGAACGTTGTAATTACAAGGTAATTGCTAAATAATATACTTCAAAATAAGGTTTCCGTTTTTATAACGTAGAAAAAATCATCCTAACGGAGTAACGCAAAGCTAAACCCTTACCTAACCCTAACTTATTTAAAAAATTGATATAAAAATGGAAACCTTATTTTGAAGTATATTATTTAGCAATTACCTTGTAATTACAACATTCAAATTTTAAAAATAAACGTTGAAGCCACGCCTTAGAAACGTCGAAAATCTGCCTAGAAACGTCATCGTACAACTGTTAAAACTAACGCGACAACTATTCGCATTAAACGGTCTACCTGAATCCGCAGTAATACATAAAATAGAGCAGTATATAAGTCAACAGGCAGATAAGTAATGTATTTTGTGCAGTGTAATATGTTTGTAGTGTGATACGCGTGAACATGAATGACGCATTGCGCTTTTGGTGTGCGGGTTACACTTTCATGAACAACAACATAAAGATAATGTATGTATGGCTGAAGGCCGAGTATTTCACACAATTTCGCCAAACTTTTACGAGCGTTTTATATAACTCTATATCGGCTTTAAACCTTCTTCTGTAGTCCTATAAACTTCTCACTAGCCGCCATCATCGTAATTACTTGCAACTACGCACGCGCGGGCGTCAAAGAGGCAAATGTCCGCCTTGATACTAATATTTTTTGGCATTGGCAGGAGAATGCCCGAAAATTAAGTGCATGGAGAAACTGAAACAGTGGTGGTACGGGTGCGGACTATTGCTTTTTTCTGTCGCCAGAATTCATAAATAGTCAAAGATCTTTTTTATATCCCCCACATAGTTTTACCGTAGAGATAGCGCACGGTCAATCCTTGGGGGATAAAATCAATCTCTGACTATTTATGAGTTCTTGCGGGAGAAAAAAACTTGGAATAGTCTTATGATTTCCCCAACTGAACTGTTCCTCATATCGGTACCAATGACTAGTGACCTAGTGTTGGTCCAACAATTTTGGACGATATTGGTCGTGCGCGCGTGACCCATATCAACAGCACCTTGAACCGACACATCCATCGAAGGTTATGTATACGTCAAAACTTTTTAATTAATTTCATGTAAAGTCTAAGGAGAACAATACAGGGGAGGAATATTTACACAGATCAGTATAGGGAATATAAACAGAGTATAATGCTGCTTTCTGACCCACACGTACTTACTATATATACGTCACCATAAGTTAACAAACGTTAAATCATTTGTAAACATAAAGTCACGAAAGGGATTATATCACTGCATGAAAACATGACATGATGAACGATTGTTTTTTCCAAGTTTTCTGATATAATTGTTTTATATTGCGTGGCTGTTAAATAGACTGGACAGTGCCCAGTGGACAAGTAAACGACCTCCACAAAATATTTGAAACCTGCATTAGCCCCCCTCCCCTTGAAAGCTCCCTCCCCTTGTGGAATGTTCTGAATTTTGGTTTCGTTTTCCCGGCAGAAAACATGACATGGTGAACGATTGTTGTTGCCAAGTTTTCTGATATTGTGGTCAAGCCTTGATCATTCCCATCATGCAACATTATTTCATGAATGTTTTCATTCTTCATTTCAGACGGACTGGGTACAAGTACATAATACTGCCTTAGTTACACGACACCAGATTCACTTGGTAGGACATCAAAGTTTGCCGCTCAGAAATAATGTCCTCTCATAAAATTTTCCCCTCGACAATTTCCGCTTATTTTGCCATTTAATTGCAATTTCAAGTGTTAAGAGGTTCTTGAAACTTTAACGGTTTCGATGTTGTGACAAGCGAACCGCTATCGTGTAAGGGAGTGGTCATTATTTATGGGGAGGGGGGGTTGGGAAATGGGGAAAATAAGGATTGAAAACTTTTTTGACCCCCTCCCCTCCAGACTGAAGGCAAACTTTTTGTTGGGAAATGGGGAAAATAAGGATTGAAAACTTTTTTGACCCCCTCCCCTCCAGACTGAAGGCAAACTTTTTGTGCCTTCCCACTCATAAAAGT